TCAATGTGTGGTTGCCTTGAGCACCCCAAACTGGGGACCTGACCCACAACACAGGCATGTGCCCTGACTGGGAATCAAACCAGCTACCCTGGGGTTTGCAGGCCTGTGCTCAATCCACTGAGCTACACCATCCAATCTGCTGGCTTTTAGTTGAGCCCGAAGGCATTATTATGAGCTAAATCCACCACTATCCTCTTCTCATTAGCCCATGGCAAATAAAATAGTCCTTTTGGGCATTTGTGCGATTATTGGGTTGGCCAAAAAGTTCTAGTTTCTTCCATACAATTTGGTTTCTTTTTGTTTTAGTTTCTTCCGTACAACTAGTAGTGCTTAATTGTCTTTAACTTCACTCAAAATAATTTTGTTACATTGTATTGTGATAGCTGTCATATCCACTGGGAATTTTTTAAAAAACACATCAAAATTGGTGGATTTTTGTGCAGCCATTGTAATATTGAAGATGGAAGAAAATACACAACATTTATTATTTCAAGAAAGGTGAAAACGCAAATGCACAAACAGATCTGTGCAGTGTGTGCAGAAGGCGCTGTGACTGATCGAACGTGTCAAAAGTGGTTTGTGAAGTTTCTTGGTACTACTGACATTTTGGCCAAATAATTCGCTGCTGGGGGCTGTCTTGTGCATTGGAAGATGTTCAGCAGCATCCCCTGGCCTCTACACATTAGAAGCCAATAGCAGGAGATAGCTGACATACTCAAAATATCCAAATCAATAAAGTCATTGGTGGAAATGAAAAGTCCGTCTTTTATTTTATGGGAGAAACCATCCAGACCCTTTGGCCAACCCAATACAAACACTCCCTGGGCTTTGAAACCAACTGGTAGTGCTGGGTTATAAGGTATTTATCCACTAATCCAGATACACTGATTCTCTTCTTTTAGCTTCTTTTCAAAACAAAAACACAAAATGAAAAAATCCTTAAGAGTATTTGGAACCTTGAGCATCCCTGCAAGGTGCCCCAGGCAGCACAGACCCCACCCCACAAGCACTAGGAGGGAGCTCTGTACACAGAAGGCGCTAAAACTTGTTGACAGAAGGAGAGCAAGTTCCATACTGGCTGATGGGTGTCGCTTTACTGTCTCTCTGGTAGAGGCTGTAAATATCGAAGCGTGGCCTTTGGACCTCTGGCCCAGGCTGGGAGCAGACCAGTTTGTCCTCGGACTACGGGGAGTGTATCGGGAAACAGGTGATGAGCCTTCAGGAAATTCAGAGGCGCTCGTCTGGCTCCCTGCCCTGCCCCAGCACCTCTTGTGTTTCCCAGTTGAACTGGAACAGTGTGGCGTAGAGATGAATGTATGGGCCATTGGCACTATGTGGTGGGTAAGAACACCAGCTCAGAGGCCACAATGTGTGGGTCTACGATCCAGCCAACGACTTGGTAGGTATGTGACTTTGCACAAATGAGCCCGAGTCCTTTTCTTCACAAAATGCAAGTGATAATAGGACCAGCCTCAGGTTTGCTGTGAGGAATGATTCAACACACGTAAAACACTTGATGTGATACCTGACAAGGAAAAAAGGCTTAATATTTTATTTTAAATAATGCTTTATATTTTATTAGCTTGTTTTTATTGGGAGAGGAAGAAAGAGATAGGTCCTTTCCCCTTTGAAGTGCTTAAAACTGTTCATAGAAGAACTTTAAAATTGGCAGAGAAATTCATTTTGTCTCAGTATAAATTTCTATACTTCACACTCCCTTCTCTGCAATTTAGAAACCCCTAAATCTCTGAGAATGCTGACATGTCTCAAACCTCATCTGGTAGCCAAATCTTAGCCCTGAGTGGTGTGGCTTAGTGGATTAAATGTAGGCCTGTGAGCCAAAGGGTTGCCGGTTCGATTACCAGTCAGGGCACATGCCTGGGTTGTGGGCCAGGTCCCCAGTTGAGGGACTGTGAGAGGCAACAATCGACGTTTCTCTCTCTTTCTCCCTCCCTTCCCCCTCTCTAAAAAATAAATAAAATCTTAAAGAAAACAAACAAAAAAAACCCTCATTTGGTCGCCAAATCTGAACTCACATGTTGCTCTTTATAGTCCTTATTTTCCCCATTGCTGTAGTCACAGGTCATTTCAGAAATATTAGTTTGGTTCCCAGGTGCTGCCCCAGACCCCCAGGGCTCACTTAAACTGTGGCATATGCATTGATTTACCTTCCTAAATCCCCCAAGTTTTGAATTCTGGAGCTCTCTCAGGTTCCAGAATTGTGGTGTGGAACTGCGGGCCTGTTCTCAACTTCTCATTGGAGCGACCTCAGTAGCTACACCCATGGACACGCAGGCAGGGCCATAGTGTGAAATGCAGGCATCGCGGGGTCAGCCATTCCACTGCACCTCAGCACGAAAAGCTTAAGAACAGTAGAAGCAGACAGCCTAGGAATCAAGGCCCAAACTCCAGTTGTTCTAGGATCCACTCAGTTTGCTATCAGAGAGTCATCAAGCATGTATTCATTGTCTAGGTGTGGACAGAATTCTTCCTAACAGCAAAAAAAAATGGAAACAACGCAGATGCCCATCAGTGGGTGAATGGATGAAGAAAACTCAATGTAAGCAGACCATGGGATGTAATATTGAACAGTAAAAGGGAAAGAAGTGATAGTCTGCACCACATGTGGATGACCTTGAAAGTGCTGTGCTTGCCCTGGCTGGTGTGGCTCAGTGGATTGAGTGCCAGCCTGCAAACCAAAGGGCTGCTGGTTCGATTCCTAGTCAGGGCACATGACTGGATTGCAGGCCACCACGCAGCATGTTTCTCTCCATCTATTCCTCCCTCTCTTCTCCTCTCTAAAAAATAAATAGCTTCTGCCTTTCCCTTCTGCCAGGAAAAGCTATTAGAGTTCCAGCCAAGATGGAGGTGTAGGTAGAAAGCCTTTGCTTCCTCGCACAACCAAAAGGAAGTTAACAACCAACCTAAAAACAATAAGCAACCAGCAGTGCCAGAAAATCAAACTGCATGGAACTCTGACAACCAAGGAATTAAAGAAACAGTCATCCAGACCAACCAGACCGGTAGGAAAGAAGGCGGATGGGCAAACTGAGAGACCCTGTGGGAAGGCAGTGAACTGCGCAGGCAGGGGGCTAGCTGAATGGGAAACAGACTCTGAGCTGGCTGTAGACTACGTGGAGGGGTTGCTGAGGTGGGAGAAACTCCCAGTCTCACACGAGAGTCCTTTGGAAAGTGGGGCTAGATATGAGCAGGCAAGCTGCATTGTTCCCTTTCTGCCCACACCCCCGACCCTAGGCAGCGCCGCAGCGCAGGGTTGCCCTGCCCCAGTGAATACCTAAGGTCCCACCCCCTTACAACTTAACAGGTGCACCAAGACAAAGAAATATTGTCCAAACAAAAGAACAGAGCAAAACTTCAGAGAAAGCTAAGCGATGAGGAGCTAGCCAACCTATCTGATGCCAAGTTCAAAACACCAGTGATCAAGATGCTCAGAACTGATTGAGCTTGGTTGCAAAATAAAAGAACAAGTGAAGGCCACCCAAAGTGAAATAAAGCAAAATATTCAGGGAACCAACAGTGACAGAAAGGAAACCAGGACTCAAAGCAACGATTCAGAACAAAAGGAAGAAATAAACATCCAACTGGAACAGAATAAAGAAACAAGAATCCAAAATGAAGAGAGCCTTAGGAACCTCCAGGACAACTTTAAATGTTCCAACATCCGAACTGTAGGACTGCCAGAAGGAGAAGAACAAGAGCAAGAAATTGAAAACTTATTTGAACAAATAATGAAGGAAAACTTCCCCAGTCTGGCAAAGGAAATAGACATCCAGGAAGCCCAGAGAGTCCCAAAGAAGTTGGACCCAAAGAGGAACACACCAAGGCACATCACCATTAAGTTACCCAAGATTAAAAACAAAGAGAAAGTCCTAAAAGTAGCAAGAGAAAAGGAGACAGTTACCTACCAAGGAGTTCCCATGAGACTGTCAGCTGATTTCTCAAAAGAGACCTTACTTGCAAGAGGGGGCTGGAAAGAAGTATTTGAAGTCATGAAAGGCAAGGACCTGCATCCAACATTACTCCATCCAGCAAAGCTATCATTTTAGAATGGAAGGACAGATAAAGTGCTTCCCAGATAAGGTAAAGCTAAAGGAGTTTATCATTACCAAGCCCTTACTATATCAAATATTAAAGGGAATTATCTAAGAAATTGAAGATCAAAAACTATGAACAGTAAAATGACAACAAACCCACAACTATCAACATGAACCTAAAAAAGGAAAAGAACAGCAATGAAAACAAATACTAAGCAAACAACTAGAACAAGAACAGAATCAGAGAAATGAAGATCAAGTGGATGGTTATCCATGAGGAGGAGAAGGGAGGAATAGGGGGGAAAGGTACAGGGAAGAAGCAGCATAATTGGTAGGCATAAAATAGATAGGAAGAGGTTAAGAATGGTATAGGAAACAGAGAAGCCAAAGAACTTACATGTATAACCCATGGACATGAACTGAGGGGGGGATGCAGGTGGGAGGGCATGTGCAAAGCAGAGGGGGGAAAATTGGGAAAACTGTAATAGCACCATCAATAAAATATACTTAAATTTTCTTTTTAAATAAAATCTTTTAAAAAAGATCTTTTCTCATATTTCTATGTATTTATTTAGAGCTGGAGAAGAGGTCAGTCCAGCTCCCCAAGGGGCTGGAAACCGTTTCGTTTATTCCTCACAGCCACTCCATGTTGGAAGTACCCTGATGCCCGATTCACAGATGAGGACACTGGGTCTTGTGGAGCTTAAGCGACTTTCCCATCATCACATGACTCTTAAATGTCAGAGAACAGAACCCAACACAGGTCTGTTGGAGTGTCAAGTCCGCCTTCTGTCCAGCACGTTGTATCACCATCTTACAATTCTGACTCTTCCTCGTTTGTTTGCAGGAATTAGGCACCATCAAGAGCTCTCTCCTCCCTGAGCCCTTGCACGGCATTGCCTGTGTGGAGAGTAGCTCCTGGCCAAACCCTGGCAGCCCGTAACCATGGACCAGTACAGCCTGGGGGACGAGGGTGCCCTGCCATCAAAGGTGCACCTGCCTCCGTTTTCTGAGAGCCCGGGACTCCATTGCAGTGACGCCCTCAGCCGGGACCTGGGTCCCAGCACACGAGACCTGCTCTATGCCAGCCTGAGTGGTTTGGACCTGGACCCTGGCCTCCCAAAGCCCGACGTGCCCAGCGAGGCCTTGGAGGACAGCGTCGACGCAGTGTCCCTGCACACGGGGAAGGACCCGGAGCCTGTGAAGCTGCTGGAGGAATGTGCAGACCCGGAGTCGCAGATGTCCTCACAAGGTAGCGCTGCCTGCCCCGGGCTGTGGGCCTGGGTGGTGGGCTGGGAGTTCCTGCGGCCGCTGAGGCTGGTTCCACACAGATCGGTTACGATACTCTCTCTCTTCCACAGGTGAATAGGGAGCGGTCACTTTTTCCACCTGGGGATTGTGCCCAACTTCCTGGTCAAGAAAAGTGAACGCTGATGCTAGGGAACGCCATGGAGCAGTTTGGGTGTCTGGGATGCGCCGATGTCGGGGATGGGTGGGCAGACCTGTGAGTTTACGGAGACCTTTCTGTCCGTGACCACATCTCAGACGGTCCTCTCCCATTTCCAGAAGGAGTGGGGGTCCTGTCCATCTGCTTCTTGTAAACCGCCCCTGCCTCAGTGTCTTCATCTGTCAAGTGGGGAGATGCTGGCACTACTCTTCTTCCCTACTTAATGACAGCAGGAACAAGCCAAAGGAGACATGAACGCAAAGGCACTTTGTGGACTGGACAGCTCCAGACAGATAATAGTGATTTTTACCCGCACTGTCAGAACTCCCGTCGGACGGTCCATTGACTCACTCCTGAGTCTCGCTCCTCAGCGTTGGAGGCGCAGAGGGAGAACGAACAGACTCCAAAGGCCTCTGTTAAATCTCCCTGTGGTTGGTCCTCAGGCGCCCCCCACAGAATGAATTCAGGTTTTGTTTTCACCCCTCTCCCTCGGCTCCTGGGTCACAAACATCACTGAGATCGGCCGACTGGGTCCGAGTTCTCAGGTGCGCACAGGTGCGTGTGCCGGCAGAAGGCCACGTCCGGAGCAGCAGCCCTGCAAACAGATGTGGCTGTTGACTGGAATACGCCACTCAAAAAGTGTCCCGAACGCTTGCTAAGGAGACCCAGATTTATTTATTTAGAGAGCGGGGAAAGGGAAGAAGAGAGGGAGAGAAACATCAATGTGTGGCTGCCTCTCATGCACCCGGTACTGTGGACCTGACCTGCAACCCAGCCACAGGCCCTGATTGGGAATTGAACCAGCAACCCTTTGGTTCACAGGCCTGTGCTTAATCCACTGCCCTACACCAGCCAGGGCTAATAAGCATTTTATTTATTTTATTATTTTTAAAGATTTTATTTATTTAGAGAGGGAAGGGAGGGAGATAGAGAGAGAGAGAGAGAAACATCAATGTGCGGTTACTGGGGGTCATGGCCTGCAACCCAGGCATGTACCCTGACTGGGAATCAAACCTGAGACACTTGGGTTCGCAGCCCGTGCTCAATCCACTGAGCTATGCCAGCCAGGGCTAATAAGCATTTTAAAAAGTAACTTAGCAAGGCCAGACTTTCCCCAGAGGGAAACCTGTTTTCCCTCATTTAAACCGTCGGATCATCTGACCAGTCACTCCTCACAGTAATTAATTCTCATGTGAAGACAACACAGACCAGGCAAGTGAGTGACAGATGGATCCACGTGCAGAGGCAGAGATGGGGCAAGAGTCTGGCCCCTTTCTGCTGTGTCTTTCGTGCTGCATCTCGGCCACAGAGACTCGGCATTGGGGGTCCTTTAGTGCCGCCCCCCTCCTGTCCCCATTCCCCCGCCCTGTGGATTCATGGATCCAGCCTCTGCAGCATCCTTTCTCAGTGGGGATTCCTCCGCTTGTCATCTCATGAGGCAGCCCTATCCACCTCAATGACCAATGTGAGGGGTAGATGAAGACTTCCATGACCCACCAGCGCCTATTGGTCCCCGAATGGGAAGTCCGGGAGCTGGAACACAGCAGTGAGCCTACAGAGTTTCCACGTCCATGGCCCTTCCAGTTCCAGTGGTTCCAAGTTAGCTTCTTTTTACTCTTTAGTCACCAAACCAGCCCTGTCCCTTGGAGCAAGACAGAAGCATCCGCTCCCTCCTCTGCATGCCGGCCCTTCGGATGCTTGAAGACATCTCCCTTCTCCTGCCTGAACGTTCCTGGCCCTGCCCCAGTGTCTCCGACAATGTCACCCCTAAAACACCTTCCATCGTTCTACCCCAGGGCTGCAGGAAGCATGGATGGTTCAGGTGCACGAGAAGAGGAAAGCAAAAGTGACCCCCAGCCCTGCCCATCAGTCCACCCTCTCAGTTTGTTTCCTGAATAAATGTCTTTTTCTAAGACTGGGACAGTTTCATTTCGCAACAGGCTGCTTGCTTCTGAGTGTGGCGTGAACATCCTCTCCCATCGTTGGGTGTTTTCCTACAGTTTTGTCTCAGATGCTCCCTGCATTTGGACCAGAACTCGGTGACCCATGTGCCCTCGTGTCAGATAAGAGGTCGTTTCTAACATTTCTCCAGGAAAAGCAGCACTGCCAGCCCTGGCTGGTATAGCTCAGTGGATTGAGCACGAGCTGCAATCCAGGCATCGCAGGTTCAATTCCCAGTCAGGGCACATGCCTAGGTTGCAGGCCATGGCCCCCAGCAACTGCACATTGATGTTTCTCTCTCTCTCTCTCTCTCTCTCTCTATCTCTCTTGCCCTCTCTCTCTCTCTCTCTCTCTCTCTCTCTCTCTCTCTCTCCCCCCCTCTCTCTCCTTCCCTTCCCTCTCTAAAAATAAATAAATAAAATCTTTAAAAATTAAAAAAAAAAGAAGCACTGCCCTTCACACCCTGGCAGCTGACTCTTTGTACAAATCCGCCTTTATGTCCTTAATTAAAAACCCACAGGTAGGATGGGTCAGAAGAAAGGATTTAGACTTTTCTAAGTTTTGGAGCATGTGTCTCGGGGCGGCCTTTCCGAGAGGGTTGTTGACAGTGTGGCCGTGAGGCCCTGCCCGTCCTGGTCGCTTCGTCCCAGCAGAGCTCCTGGTGGCGGCGGCTGCCGCTGCCGCCACACAGGCCCTGGGTGCCACCTTGCAGGTGCACCCTGACCGGGCACCTTCTCCCTGGGCCTGGGCCCGAAGCCTGTTTTCTCTGCAAGCAGAGCTGCCACCGTGGGGAGCCCTCAGCCCCTCTCGCCCAGCCCGCTGCAAGTCTACCTTGTGATTTCCCCTGCCGTCCGATTTCCCCGATGTCTGTGACCTGGGCTTTCCCCTCTCTCTAGACCTGGGGCTCGGCGTGCTGAAGGTGCCTAAAGAGCCAGAAGAAGGAGGCAGGGCCCCCGCTGGGAGCGCACGGAAAGGAAAGCGGCAGCACAGCTCACCCCAGAACCCACTCCTGGACTGCAGCCTCTGCGGGAAGGTGTTCAGCAGCGCCAGCTCGCTCAGCAAGCACTACCTGACGCACAGCCAGGAGAGGAAGCACGTTTGCAAGATCTGCAGCAAGGCCTTCAAGCGGCAGGACCACCTGTACGTGGGGGTCTGGTCCCCCAGAGGGCTCTCCAGGGGCTGGGGGTGGGGGGGAGCAGTGAGAGCGGGGTGTTCCTGGGTGTCTTCCCTGCCTCCCAGACCACCTTGTCCCGCCTGCCCTTGGGCTGTCCCACCTCTGTGTTCCCCAGGAGGGTGTCACCTGTGCTTAGCACAGACACATCCGCCTCACGCAGCCAGTGCCCTGGGACGGGTCTGGCACTGCCCTGGATGGTCCCCCTCCTGAGCCCCCGCATGCACACCAGTGTGGTTTGCAGCTGGGACTCTGGTGGTGTAAGGACCTGGAGTGGCTCGCCCTGGAGGCAGTTGCGACACGCAGGAAGTGGGGCTGACCGTGGGGCAACATCTGGGGTTCCCGCCCCACTGGGTGTTCGAGGAGCGTGTGCTGGGGAGGACCCCAGCGCCAGAGTTCTGAAATGCCTGTTTCTAGAACATGACGACAGAACGTTAACTCCTGGTTTTCTTCTTTAACTCTTGATTTTTTAGAAGAAAGCTCATTGTAACAGTTAGAAGCCAAATTCCCTGTGTTCTTGATGTTTTAGAAACAATGAGCTTTTCTCGCTAGTAAGGAAGGGAAGACAGACTTTTTCACACCCAGAGACTTGCAAGTGAGAGGTGCAGCCCCTTGCGTTTTTACAGTGCTCCCAGCCTTGGCAGAGGGCTCTGATTAGTTCCTCTTCTGCTTTACCGTCTTGCCCGCCAGACCTGAAGGAAGGGAAAGAATTGGCTCACATCAGAAATTGGTAACAGAAGGGGCCGGAAGTAGGGTCTCCTGATCCCTTCTCTGCTGCTGATCAGAGGGAAGCCTCGTGTCGGCCTTTGGAAAGGGTTTTGTGTTTTATAGGACGTACCCCGCGTGACACTTGTACAACTGTGCGAAGTAGGGCTGCTGGGAACCCAGAGGGTGATTTACTCAGCTGTTTACATTCATCATACATTAACGTAGACATAAGCGTGACGTAAACAGAATGCACTTGTATGCATTTACGTTTGCAGAAATTATGGGGACATTCAGCTGTTTTCTGGAAAGGTTTTCGGATTGGGCATCTGTAAATGTTTTTCTCTTTGCTCTGGGGGCTCCAGGTAGCTAGCTGGCCCCTTAGAGGAGCCCAAGGCTGAGGCAGACCTGCCTTTGTTAAGGAGGGGCCGCCCTGGGCCAGCATTTCCCTCGGGGCGTCCGCAGAACTCTGGGTCTCCGGGGTGCTCATGGCAGCACCTGGAAAAGCCGTTCTGTGTGCAAATAGGTGTGAGAGACATCGAAAGTTAAACACATGCCTCTGTGCCTGCCTGTTGTGTGGCTTTTTACATTTGCTCCTGTGCCGGTGAACCTCCTAGGAGTACATCATGTTTTTTTGAAACTTATTTGCCAGCTGCACCCAAGCCCCCAGGGGAGTGACTATGGAGGCTTGGTGTTCCTGGGGAACCCACTTTGGGAAACTGCGGCCTGGCTCCCGCTGATCTGTTTTTTTCTCACATACGGGACTTCCTTAAGGGTGAGGGAGAGGGGCACCCCTTCCAGACTGCTGCCATCCTAGCGGGGGCTGAGTGTGGCTTCCAGCTGAGGGACCCCCTCGGGGTCCGTGCAGGGAAGGCCCTGGTGGCACGCCGCTGACTCCCTCCCTGGATGTGACCGCAGGACCGGGCACATGCTCACCCACCAGAAGACCAAGCCCTTCGTCTGCATGGAGCCGGGCTGCAGCAAGAGCTACTGCGACTACCGCTCGCTGCGCCGGCACTACGAGGTCCAGCATGGCCTGTGCATCCTAAAGGAAGCCCCCGCGGAGGAGGACACCGGCGGGGACTCCCCCCACACCCAGGAGGCGGCCGGCCTGCCGGCACCCAGTGGCCTGCGGTCCCTGACGCCCCCGGAAGCCAGGCCCCCCAGCACCCTCTTGCCCAGCCGGGACCTCCTGCGCTGTATTGTCAGCAGCCTGGTCCACCAGAAGGTCCCCTCCCCCTGCCCGGTTCCCCCAGGGCCTGCAGATGGCAGTGATGGCAGGAACACAGCCTGCCCCTGCCCGCCCTCCTTGGGGTCCTCCTCCTGCACCCCAGCAAGCGCTCCAGCAGCCCTAGGAACCCTGGGCCCCGAGGTTCCCGAGGAGCCCCGCCCCCCACAGGAGCCTGTCACCGACGTGTTCGCAGCGACCCACACAAGGGCGGCAGAGAATGGTGGCTCCGACCCATCTGAGTCGGAGCCCTGGCTGCTCCAGTTGCCGCCCGCCCTGGAGGGCTGGCCCGAGGGAGGCCCCCTGCCCGCCTGCCTGCCGCTGTTCCGAGGCCAGGCGGTCCCCTCCGGTCCCCAGCCTCCCACCCACAACTTCCCGTGGCTCCGCAACCGGAGTCTGTCGGGCTGCCCCAAGAGCAAAGGGAGCAACGTGTTTGTGGTCCGCAAGGCCCCCGCGGTGCAGTCCCCTGAGGGCCCAGAGTGTGGCCTGGGGTCCCCCACCAGGGAACCCTCGCCCGGCACGGGCCGCAGCCTGGAGGACGTGCTGCCCCTCCCTCCCTCGGGCGACCCCAGATGTGCTGGTGGGGACGACGACTGCTCCTGGGCCTCCAAAGAGAGCAAGTTTGACTGTGACACTTTGCTGTGGCAGAAGCCCGGGGAGCCCAGCCTGCAGGAGGTCCAGCAGCCCAGCGGGCTCCCGGCGTCAGACGCCACCCCGCTCTTCCGGCAGCTGTTCCTGAAGCCGCAGGAGCCCCTGGTGAGCCACGAGCAGATGCAGGTGCTCCAGATGATCACCAAGTCCCAGCGGGTCTTCTCCCACACCCAGGCGGCCGCCGCGTCCTCCCCGCTCCCCGAGGGCAAGCAGGCCGCCCTGAAGTCAGGTCCCTGGCCGCAGCAGCCCCTGCCGCTGACACCCAGTGCCGACTCTGTCCATGCCAGCCCCGGAAGTCTGGAGCCCGAGGGGTCCCCAGCCCAACGGAGAAAAACCACACCTGCGTTTCCCAGAGCAGCCTCTCCGGGCAGTGTGAAACGGGACTCGAAGGGAGGACCCAAAGGGGCCACCGCTCCACCGTCCCTCATTGTGTCATCTCTGGACCCTCCCGGGAATGCAGACATCTCTTTGGCCAAGCAGTTGAGGCCCACAAAAGGGACTTTGGACCTGGGGGACATCTTCTCCCCTGGTGGCCCACAGCAGACACAGTCCGGTGGGGACGAGACCCCGGGAGCCCAAGTCCCCGGGAAGCAGGCCCAGGCTGAGAACAGCACGGCACCCGGAGCCTCGAAGGGCGACAAGGGCACGGCCTGTTCCCGGGGCGGAGGCCACAGGCCCTTCTCCGGCAACCCCAGGGCCCAGCGCTTCTCGGGCTTCCGGAAGGAGAAGGCGAAACTGGACACGTGCTGTGCGGCCTCTCCCAGCCAGGTGGCCATGGCCTCCTTCTCCTCGGCCGGGCCGCTGGTGGGTCCCCCCCGAGACTCCAAGTCCAAGCTGACGATATTCAACAGAATCCAGGTACCTGTGGTTTTCAGTGTAATCCCGGGGCCGCCCCTCCACCATCACCCCCTGCCAGGACGTTCTACCCCCAAAGAAACCCCACGGTCCCAGTCGTCACCTGCAGTCCCCTGTCCCTCCCAGCCCCTGGCAACCGCGCGTCAGCCACCCCCAGTCCCTGCAGATTTGCCAGCTTCCCAAGGCCATCCGCGTGGGGGCGTGTCAGCGCCCCGCTCTGGGGCTGCGAGGTCGTCCTTTGTGCAGGCACATCCTCCCCTCATCCCTTGTCAGGTGACACTGGGGTTGTCTGCACCTCCTGGCCATCGTGAGGAGTGAGCGTTCACGCACAAGTCTTTGTGGATGTGTGTTCTCATTGCTCTCAGGAAACCCTTTGGCGTGGAATTGCTGGGTTGGAGGGTAACTCTGTTGTGACCGTGTGGGGAACGGCCCGGCTGTTTTCCAGAGCAGCTGTGTCACTTTTGTCTCCCGCCCACAGCGAGTGAGGGCTCCGGTTTCCCCACATCCCGCCCAACGTGTGGGGTCCAGCGAGCCCTCGCCGTCCCTGTGGGGCGCAGTGGTCTCTCAAGCCGATGTGACCTGCATCACTCTGGTGGCTAATGACATTGAGCATGTGCTCAGTGGCCGTTGGTGTCTCCTTTTTGGTGTGGTGTTTATTCAGATGGTTTGCTTGTTTTTAGGTTATTTTACTTTTTATTGTTGAGCTCTAAGAGTTCTTTATGTATTATGACTACAGGTCCTTATCAAGTATCTGTGACTTTCAGTGATTTTCTCCCACTCTGTGGGTGGTTTTTTCACTTTCTTTCTTTAAAAAAAAACTTTTAAAAGATTTTATCTTTTAGAGAGGGGAGGGAAGGAGAAAGAGGGAGAGAAACACCCATGTGTGGTTGCCCCTCGTACACCTGCTAGTGGGGACCTGTCCTGCAACCCAGGCATGTGCCCCAACTGGGAATCGAACCAGCAACCCTTTGGTTCACAGGCCAGTGCTCAATCCACTGAGCCACACCAGCCAGAGTTCTTACTTTCTCGATGATGATTTTTAAAGCGCAGATGTTTTAAGTTTTGATGAACCACTTCATTCTTTTGTTTTCGTGGCGTGCAGGAAACCCTTGCCTAATCCCAGGTCACACAGAATTACATGTGTTTCCTTCCAAGAGTCTTAGAATTTTAGCTCTTGCCAACCTCGTCTGACGTATGGGCTCAGGCATACTTCTGTCTGCAGGGCGGGAACATCTACCGGCTCCCCCATCTGATGAAGGAGGAGAACCCAGCAGCTGGATGGTGAGTTCGGAAGGCCTTCTCCTCCTCGCACCCCCCACCCTGCCAGGGGGAGCGCAGCCCCTCAGGAGTCCTCTGGTGGCCTCCAAGTGCCCGCCCTGGGAGAGGGGCTCTGGATGCGTCAGGCCTGCAGAGGTGCGCACCAGGCCCTGAAGAACTGGGGTGTCGGCGCTGTGTGTTAGGGTTCACCCAGAGCTGTCAGTGGGTCAGACTCGAAAACAACAAAGGAGCCAGTGCCCGGCCGAGTCCCACTCTCGCACTCTCCCCTCCGGCCGTGTCTCCCGCAGCAGCCAGCACCACGGGGCCCCTGCGGACGGCGCGGAGCCGCGGGGCACCCACGTCTGCCGGAACTGCAGCCAGATGTTCTACACCGAGAAGGGGCTGAGCAGCCACATGTGCTTCCACAGCGACCAGTGGCCGTCGCCTCGAGGGCAGCAGGAGCAGCAGGTGAAGGGCACACGCAGTAGGCCCTGGGATCTCCAGGTCTCTGCCAGCTTTGGGGCGTCAGTGCCTGGGTGTTGTTTGTCCCAGGGTGGAGACGTCTTCTGTCATGGGGGTGCGGGGAAGCCTGGGGCAGGGCAGGAGCCGGCACTTCAGGCTGGCGCAGCTGTTCTGCTCCCTGCCAGCTGTGTCTCCTCAAGACCGTCTCTTCTCTGCCTGTAGGTCTTTGGTGCAGAGTTTTGCAAGCCAACAAGACAGGTGCTGAGGCTGGAGGAGGATGGGCAAAGTCCCCCAGGAGCCCAGATGTCCCAGGACAGCACGGCCCCTTTGGAGATGCCCACGTCGGTGCCTGTGGCTCCAGCACACCGAGCCCTGGGCAGCACGGCCATGGTGGGTGCTGGCCGGTCCCCTTCCTGCCGCAGCCCCCCCCCCCCCGCCTGCTGGGGGAAGCGGTGGGGAAAGCCCAAACAAACTCCACCCAACATCCTGCCTCCAGAAGAGCTGGGTTTGCCTGTTCGTTCATTCATTCATTCATTCATTCAGCACCCGCTGAGCTCCCTCTGTGCCTGGCCCTGCACTGGGGATTCTGGGGACCCCAGGGTGACCATGACACCCTCTGCCCTCCCTCCTGGGCTCCCTGGCCAGCGTAGTAGATAGACCTATCCCCAGACGGTGATGACCCAGGTTGGGCAGGGCTGGGGGTGGGGAGACAGTAGAGGAAGCTGGGGAAGCCCTGAGGGGGCAACAGAGACCCAGCCTGAGGAGGGCAGGGAGGACTTCCTGGAGGAGGGGGTGCTGGAGCTGAGACCTGGAGGATAAGAAGGAATAAGACTGGCAGAGAGGAGGGGAGACTGCATGGAGGTGAGAGAGAACACGGTGAGTTCAGGCGGTTGGTCTTCGGCCTACACCAGAGGATCCTGCCTGGGGCAGTGCAAGCTGGACTTGGGGATGGGGGTCATGGACCCCGCTACTGGTCTCACAGGAGCTGCTGTCATTGGGAGGGGAACCAGTTTTCATTTGGTCACCCTGTTACACTGTCTCTGGCCCCTGCTATGTGAATGTTGGTCGTGCTAACAGTGGAAAGTGGCCTCACGTGTTGCCCAGGGCCTGAGCCAGGGCCTCTGTTTGGAGTGCGGGTGCACAGGAAGGCTGCAGCTTTGAACACCATAGGCACCAGGGCAGGGGTCTGGCCCAGGGTGGGGGGGGGTCCCTGCTCGGCCTCCCTTGCCAAGGGCCCTGGGCATGGACGTGCGGGGCGTGCGCATGTCATTTGTTCCTCTGTCCCTGTCTTCCGCCCCCTCTCCTGCTCTCGTGCCATCTTGAAGACTGAGCTGGGCGGCAGGCGGCTCCAGGTGACCCCTCCGCACTCTCTTCCTCCGCAGGGCCAGGAGAAGGAGGTGAAAGAGAGAGACAACAGGGAGAGCAGCCAGCACAGGAAGCGCAAGAAGCGCCCGCAGCCCAAGGCCTTGTTTGTCCCGCCTCCGCGCCGCTCCTTCGGGGAGCCGGGCCTGGGCAGGTGCCCCCAGAGCTGCCTGCGGGCCCCCGTGTTCCTGGTGGACCGCCTGCTGAAGGGGCTGTTCCAGTGCCCTCCCTACACACCGCCCCCCATGCTCAGCCCCATCCGGGAGGGGTCCGGGCTCTACTTCAGCTCCCTCTGCTCCACGTCCGCCCAGGCCAGGCCCGACAAGCTGCTCAGCACCATGCTGGGTGAGTGGGCCTCGCGCGGGGCCCGCCCTCCCTTGCAGCCACGTTCGGGCCCGTCTCTCCCTCCCGTGGCTCTGGCCCCGGGGCTGGTACAAGTGCCCCGGGGCTGGTACAAGTGCCCCGGGCCCGTCTGTGATTGGCAGACTTCCTGTTGCTCACGGTTTTACAGCCAGAAAGAAACTGCAGAGACCATGTAGCCTGACCACCCCTCTGCCTACCCTCCCGTGTAGCTGCTGAGACAGCTTTAGTGAAACACGCTTTACACTCCACGTGATGACGAGTCCTCGCTTCAGGCGCACAGCGCCTCTCAGTGCGCTCACAGGGCTGCGCGCTCGGCGCACAGGAGCCAGACGGCGTTCCTGCCGCCCCCAGGAGGAGCACTATCACACCCCCCCGCGGCCCCAGAAACGGCCGGCCTGCTTTCTCGGCGCTGTGCCGGTCCCGGACACTCTGTATGAGTGGGGTCACACGTGGCCTTTGGTGTCCGGTTTCCTCACCTGGTACGGTGTCGTCCAGCCCTGCTGTCCTGCAGATCAGAGCCCCTCCTCCGTGCAGCTGAGTGGCATCCCGTTGTCTGGGGAGACCTCGCTTTCGGTGTCCGTTCCTCAGGCGACGAGCCTTTAGGTGCCTTCCAGTTCCGGGCTGCAGAAACTGGGCTGCTGTGGACACTCCTGTCCGGGATTTTGCGTGGATGTTTGTGTTTCTCCTGGGCAGGTCCCCAGGGGTGGGGTTGCTGGGCCCTCTGGCAGGCCCTCCACTGTGTTAACCATTCAAGGGGCTGCCAGGCCAGTTTCCAAGAGGACCGGGCCGCGTCCCATCCCCCAGCGCTTCATGGGGGCCCCCGGCTTCTCCGCAGCCTCGTGGCGACGGCTCATGGGCCATTTCCGTTCACATCTGCTGTCTCGCCTCATTCCGGTCACTGTACTTCTTTAACCCCAGAACTTCCGTTTGGTTCGTTTTTAAAAAAATAATTTCTGTCTCTTAGTGGTATTCTGTCTTTGATGAGACATTAGCGTCCTACCTTCTTTTAATCCTTTAAGTGTGGGGGCGGGGCGGGAGGGAGCCCGCACCCCCTTGGCCGCATCTGCTGCTGCGCTCCAGGTCGAGGCTGCCACGGCACCAGAGGCCAGGTGGGCGTGGGGGTCCTGGCTCAGGTGTCAGTGACTCTCTCTGTTCTTACCAAGATTTCATCAATGTTCTCGGGTGTATGTCTCTTAAAATGCTTGAAATGTTTCTTGTATACCTGTAGGACAACTTCCAGACACTTTAACTTACTGTATTTTAGGTATAATTTTTATCAGTTGATTTGTTGTTTTGGCTCAGTTCCTTACTGTACCTTTTCAGAAGTCCTGTCCACCTTCCATGCAATCTTTTTTTTTTTCAATTTATTTTATTGTGGTAAGAACAGCTGACATGAGATCTGCCCTTTAACAAGTGTGTGAGACAGTGTCAGGACCTTGGTGCGGTGTCGGGGCCCAGGGTGCAGTGTTGGGGCCCAGGGTGCGGTGTTGCACGGCATGTCTCTAGAGCTCATCGATCTTGCTCACTTGAAACTTCAGTGCCCGTTGGTTAGGGCTCCCCATAGCCCAGTCCCTCAGGCCCTGCACACCTCCACCCACTCCTCCATCATGTGGATGTGACCATTTCAGATACTTTGCATAAGTGGGATCACACAGACAGTATGTGTCTTCCTGTGACTGGCTTAGTCGCTTAGCGCGGTGTCCTCAGGGCTCACCCGCGTCCTCAGTGTGGCAGGAGTTCCCTTCCCAAGGCTCAGTGGCAGCCCCTGTGCGAACGCACCACACCCTCTGCCCGTTCGCCCGGCCCGGCCACCGAGGCCCTCTCACATCCTGCCTGTCGTGCATGGTGTCGCAGCGAGCACGGGAAGGAGTGAGGTGTTCCTTGGGACCCCCACTTCAGTTCTGCTGGATAAATACCCTGAAGTGAGATTGCCAGATCGTGTGGTAGCTCTCTCTGTAAGTTTCTGAGGACATTTTATGCCATGCAGGCGTCAAGAGCCTGCCCTCAGCTGCTCCGGGAAGGCAGGGAGAAGGGGCCCCGGGGGTCACTTCTTGTCGGTCTTCTTGAGGCTCATTGTGGTGTGTGTTCTAGATCGAAAGGATGACTCGTTTGGTATCTGTGTGGTGAAGGATGACACCAAGATCAGCATTGAACCGTGAGTCAGCACAGACGCAGGCCCGGGGGGGGGGTCTTCCCAAAATGGGCAGCTTTTACACTCCCTGTGCCCCGGGGTCAGCTGTGCCCAAGGGCCCCTGCGTCACAGGCGGTTCAGGGGTGGCCACAGGGCTTCCACCAGGAGACAGGTGGCGGATTTCTCCAGGTCCACGTGAAAAGTCCCCCCACAGTCCTCTGTCCGGACACACCATAGTGGGGCCCGTGGGGGGGAGTGCCCATGACCCTGGGGTTCCCGGTCAAATTGCTGAGGGCACAGTGCAAGACCCTTGGCTCTGCACAGAGTGTAGTTGACGACGTGGCCGTGGCTGGAGGAGTGTGCCAGGTGTCAGCGTGCACCTCCCCGATCCTGTGCCCCAGGAGAGACCCCTGAGGCCAGAAATCTGGCAACAAAAGAAACTGAAGGGAGGCAGGGGTTTCCCCGCAGAGGTTTCTGGAGGCATGCAGCACATCTGAGAGGTCAGGGGAGCCCGAGGGGCAGGGCACGACACGCGCCTCCGTCGTTCCCACCTTAGTCACGCATACGCCTCGCGTGTCTGTGTGTGTGGTCTCATTTCAGACACATCAACTTAGGGAGCCGCTTTCAGGCCGAAATCCCAGAGCTCCAGGATAGGTCGCTGGCGGGCATTGACGAGCACTTGGCCTCTCTGGTCTGGAAGCCGTGGGGAGATGTGATGACCAACCTGGAAACGCAGGACAGAGGTGGCTGAGACTTTCAGCCAGATTCCCTGGCCCAGCCCCTGCCCCGAGGACTTTCTCCCCCCTTCTCCGCTGGGCCACGCAGCAGCATCCCCTGGGGGTGGGGAGGGACCAGCCCGCAGTCCAGCGTTGCTCCTCCAGGCCACTGTCCCCCGTCCCCACCTCTCTGCTGACGCGGCAGCTGGCCAGGCCATCCCTCCTCCCTGTCCATCCCTTTCCTCCACCTGCTTTTAACCGAAGCGTGAGGGAGATGGTGACAAGGAGCACCTTCCCTGCACTGTCGCCCTCGGGGAGCTTCCTCTCTGGCCCTGGCTGACCCCGTCTCCTCTCCCTTGCACCCTGCGGGGGCCTCGCTCCAACGACAGTGACTGAGCTCTGCAACGTGGCCTGCTCCAGTGTCATGCCAGGAGGGGGCACCAACCTGGAGCTGGCTCTGCACTGCCTGCACGAAGCCCAGGGCGACGTCCAGGTGAGGGGGCCGGGTGGGGCTCCACGGGGCCTGGGGAGCTCCCCGCTGTCCTGCGCTGGGGCTCCAGGTACCTGCGGCGCACCTGCGTGGGGGGCGGGGAGGGGGTCGCAGCTATGAAAATGAAGGGAAGCCACCCACCCTTCCCCTGGTGGCTCTGGGACTGGCGTGGCTGTTGAACACCAGAAGGGAATGGGCAGACCTGGGCTCGGTAAAGCAGTTGTTTATTTGGGGCAACAGCGGGGCCCAGGTACCTCTGAGATCTCAGGGGCTGTGGGAGAGGGGGAGCCTAGTAGACCCTGCTCAGGTCCTACACTGATCTGGTTTATTGAGCAAGCTTTAGCTCTTTGATCTGAAACCCACTGTGGCAACCTCTGGGGCAACAGAAAGGCCCCCGCCCCGTCGAAGGACCCTCCTCACCATCCTGAGATTTGGGAAATAAATGAAAAGCCCCACTCAGAGGAGCGGGAGAGGAAGTCACGTTCGTAATTTGGGGACCCAGGAGGCAACAGTTCTGCTTTTTCTCAAGGAGACAATGGCTGGCACTCAGGAGGCGCTCAGCATTGTGTCACCTCTTCACTGGGTCCCACTGAGCTGCTGGTGCCGAGGCACCGGGGCAGGGCCGGCTCCGTCCCGTGCGTGGTGTAAGGCTCTGGTGCCGCCATCTGGAAATACTTTACATCTGAGCAAAAGGGCCCCATGTTTCCCTTGGCCCTGGGCCCTGCAGGGGACATGCCAGTCCTGCCTGGGCTGCGCGGGTGAGCAGGACAAAACCCCTCTCTTCACGGGGCTCACACTGTAGGAGGATCAGACAGGAAACATGCTTTTCACATCATTAGACAGTGATTAGTGCTGCAAGGAAAACAGAGTGTGGCCACAGGCAGGGGCAGCGCCACTGAGAGTGCTGGTCCTCGGAGGAACACGGGCTTGTGCCGGAACGAACTCCCGCACTGGCTGCTTCACGAGGAAAGTCTGGCTACAGAAAACGGTGTCCGCTGCCCCCGAGAGCACACCTGGTGATGTAGTCAGCGTGCCCACAACCGGGACCCGGTGGTGTCCACGGACCAGCCACGCTCTGAGCAGCCCGGGATGGGGGGGAGGAGTGGGGACACTGGAGTGGTGTTTGAATGAATGAGCCCGCAGAGGCAGGCCTCTCTCCCTCACCTCTGCTCCCTCTGTAAGTAGCCAGCCTCTCCTCTTGTTCTAGGTCGCCCTGGAGACGCTCTTACTCCGGGGACCCCAGAAGCCACAGACTCACCCGCTCACTGACTACCGCTACACAGGTGACTGGAGCCAGGTGCCAAGGGGTTTTTGCCCGGCCGAGACCCCCGTGCACCAGTCAGCCTCGATGGCACGCTCTGCTCGTGCCTCAGTTGGCTTTGCCTGCCTCTCCAGAAAGGCCTGTCATGCCTGGGGTAACTCAGAGGGCGCTAAATTCTTCTGGTTGGGTCCTACCTTCCCCTTTCCCAATGCTTCCCCCATGGGCTCTGCCCAGCCGGGAAGGGGATGCTGCAGGCCAGGAAGGGGTGGAGGTGCCTGGGTCATCGACGGATGGAGCCCAGCAGCCCTGGAGTCAGGAGGCTGCCCTGCCTCCTTCCCCCTCTCACCCCGGCTTGGCTAGTCAGCCAACAGAAGCCCAGATTCTTGGGTCCCCAAATTGCTGCGGCAGCAAAGTGGGCATCGTCACGGTCACAGTCCCCTCCTGCTAAGGTTTTTGTGAGGGTTGTATGAGATGAGGCAGACATGGGACTCAGCAGAAGGCTGGGCACATTCTCGGTGCTCAGAGCCAGCAGTTGAAACAGGAGGGTGGTCTGCGGTTCAGTCACGGCTGCTGCGATCCCAGAGGACCTACACCTTCCCTCTCCTGGCCGGTTCCCCACAGGCTCGGACATCTGGACCCCTGTGGAGAAGCAGCTCTTTAAGAAGGCGTTCTGTGCCCACAAGAAGGACTTTTACCTGATACACAAGACGGTAAGGCACACCCGGCCTCGCCCTGCAGCACGGCCTCACCCCGCTGGAGTGGAAGGGCCGGCCTGGGCGACACGCTGCTCGCCTTGTGACAGTTTACAATTCTAAAGAGCCGTGGCTGTGGACGACTCCAAAGAGTCCTGGTTCTGGTCTGTGGCCTCTGCCTGGCTGTGCCCAGGAGGCACTCCTCTGCCTGCGCAGGTCTCACTCCCAGACGTGTGTGTGTGAGGATTTCCTGCTGGTGTTCTTGTTAACGGGAGGGACACAAACCGCATGTAATCAAAGTGTAAGATTTGATGTTCTGACATACGTGTGTCCCTGTAAAACCATCACCACAGAACGCATCCGTCACCCCCCAGATTTCCTCTGGCCCCTGTGGTCGCTCGTCAGCTCCTTGTCTTCACCTGATCATGGACCTCTGGGAGGTTTCCAGTTACCAGCGATGGTGCCCACAGCCGCAGCAAACAGTGACATACACGCCTTCGCAAGGGCGCATGTTGGTTGGTTTTCGGTGGAGGCGTAAACACCTGGAGGGGGAGGGAGTGGATGTCCCGGTCGGTGTGTGGTCAGCACTTTAAGAAACCGCCAAACCGTTCTCCCGAGCAGCTGTGCCGTGCATGTTCCCGCCCCCGGGGCACGAGAGTCCAGTTGCTTCGCAGCCTCACGGATGCTGGAAACGGTGGGTCCTTTCAGTGTCACCCACTCCAGTGAGTCTGCCACGGGGTCTCGTTGCAACGTGCTCACTTTCCTTTCACAGACCAGCTTTTGGTGTTGCGTCTAAGAAATCTTTGCCTACACCAGAGTCACAAAGACTCCCCTCTGTGTTTTCTTCTAGAAGCTGAGTAATTTCAGGGTTACCACTTATATGTATGGCCTCTGTGGTCGCGGCGTGTTGGGCTCTATCTGTTAGAATTTTGTTCCGCGTGCCTCGTCTGTGTTCATAAAGGATCCGGGTCAGTGGCTTCCTTCTTCACAGCGTCCTTGTCTGGCCGTGGTGCCGGCTGTCGCTGGGCTCACAGGCAGTACTGGGGAGCATTTCCCCCCTTCCGTGTTCTGGAACACTGTGCTTAGAACTGGTTTGAGTCCTTCTTAAATATTTGTCAGTGAAGTCACCTAAGCCTGGAGTTTTCTCTGTGGGAAGGTTTTTAACAACAAATTCAGTTCATTTCATTAATACGAGGCTGTTCAGGTTCAGTGTCTTCTGGAGTGAACATTGGTAGTTTCTGCATCTCCAGGAATGTGAGCATTTCTTCTGAGTTGTCTGACGTTGCGGCGTGAAGTTCGTGACATTCTCATGTTGCCCTTTCTGCATCTGCAGGTGGTGGTGATACCACCTGCCTCACTTCTGATATTGGCGACTTATCTTTTTATTTTGGTCCTTCTGGCTAAAGGTTTATCCATGTTTTCTATTTTCTCTAAGGATTAGCTTTTGGTTTTGCTGATTGTTTTCTAGTTAATTGATTTCTGCCCTGTTATCACGTCCTTTCTTCTGCTTGCTTGGGGTTTAATGTGCTCTTTCTTCTGTTTCTAAAAGTGGAAGCCGCAGTCACTGGTTTGAGACCCTTCCTACTTCCTAATACAGGTGTTCAGTGCTATGAATCTCCTTCAAAGTACTGCTTTGACAAGTTTTCCTATGTTGGGTTTTCATTTTTATGCAGGCCAAAATACTTTTTGATTTTCTTTGACCTGTGAGTTATGTAGAAGCGTGTGACTTAGTCTCTAAGTATTTGAGGATTTTCCAGAGTTCTTTTTTATTTTATTTTATTTATTTATTTTTAGAGAGAGGGGAAGGGAGGGAGAAAGACAGGAAGAGAAACATTGATGTGCAAGAAATGCATTAATCAGTTGCCTCTCACACGCCCCCAAATGGAGACCTGGCCCGCAACCCAGGCATGTGCCCTGACCAGGAATCGAACTGGCGACCCTTCAGTTCATAGGCCAGCACACAATCCACTGGGCCACACCAGCCAGGGCTACAGTTCTCATGTTATTCATACTCTTATTTAGTGTCACTGAGGTCAAAGAAATACTTTGCATGATTTGAATCCCTTTAACTGTATGGAACCCTTGTTATGGCCCAGAACATGGTCCAAGTCTTGGGAAGGTTCTGAGCGCACTCACGGTGGACTTCACTGCTGTTGGGTGGAGGTCTGTAAAGGTCAGGTCAAGGTGAAGGTGGCCGATGCCGTGGCTTGGGTCTTCCACACACTCACTGCCACGTGTCCCAGCAGTTACTCAGAATGGGATAGTCAAGTACTTGACTGTAATTATGGATGTTTGTTTTTCCTTGCAGTGCTCCCATTTTTTGCTTCATGTATTTTGAAGCACTGACTTCAATGCATAAACATTTAGGATTCTTACTTCTTCTTGATTCGTTGACCCTTTGGTTGTAATGAAATGATTTTCTTCATCCCTGGGATTGCTCTTTGCTCGGTTTCCTGTTTTGGATATTAACAGAGCAGACACTCCAGCTTTCTTATGATTGGTATTAGCATGCATGGTTCATCTCTTTCCTCCTCTGGCTTTTAACCTGTTTGCATCTTTATATTTAAAGTGCATTTTTGTAGGGAGGGTGTGGGTGTGGCAGACTCCAGCCCACAGAGTCCTCGTGTTGTGACTGAAGACGAAAACAAATGCGCAGACTACAGCAGTCCTGTGGGAGAAAAGGGACGGGACCGTACTCTCTTAAGATGAGAGTCCTGCGGCCACTTCTCTCAAGGGGAGAGTGCACCGACCCTTGCCTGGACAGGCTTTTATTGTCTTTCTTGGGTCTTACATCAAAGAAGGATTTATTATTTATTGCATAGAATATTGTTGTCTACATTTTAGGTACAAAGAAATGAAAATAACAAATGCAAAATGGAAAGGCATTGAGCTGATTAGCTCCATCCTTGGGAAAATTCACATAGGCTTTGGAAACTTCCTTGGGGATAAACAATAAACATGTACTGTCAGACCAGGGTGAGGGAGTTTCAGCAAGAGCAAGCCATAACCGTCTGTATGCATTTTCTAGGCCTGATTCCCATGGGAAAGCCTGGTTTGAGGGTCTGGCTCCTGCCCACCACTTTGCTCCTGTAGGTTTTCCATACGGGGCCGAGTCACATTTGTCAGACTGAAACCGGTTCCCTGCATGTAGGGTGTTGCTTTTTATAGGGAATGTTCAGCCTTTTAATTGGGGTTTTTATATCATTTACATTTAATGTGATTATTGAGATAGTTCAGTTTAAGTCTGTTTTCTTGTTATTTGTTCTCTGATTGCCCAATTTGGTCTTTATTTCCCCTTCCCACTTTTTCTGCCTTCTTGTGGATTAATATAGTAAATATAAGAATTCTGTTTTAAGCCCTGGCTGGCATAGCTCAGTGGATTGAGCGAGGGCTGGGAACCAAAGTGTCCCAGGTTCGATTCCCAGCCAGGGTACATTCCTGGGTTGCAGGCCATAACCCCCAGCAACCGCACATTGATGTCTCTCTCTCTCTCTCTCTCTCTCCCCGCTCCCTTCCCTCCCTAAAATAAATAAATAAATAAATAAATAAATAAATAAATAAAAATGTTAATTACAAAAAATTCTGTTTTATATTCTTTGTTGGCTTATTGGCTGTAACTCTTCATTTTATTGCCTTTGTGGTTGCTTTAGGGTTTATTCAGTGCCTCCTTAACTTACTTCATTCTAGCCCTAGCCAGGTAACTCAGTTAGAGTGTTGGCTCAATATGCCAAGGTTGCAGGTTCAATCCCCAGTCACAGCACATATAAGAATCAACCAATGAATGCATAAAAATATAGAACAATAAATTGATGTTTTTATCTGTTTTTCTAAAATAAAAGCAATCAACCAATAAGTAAGTAAACAAACAAACAAAAAATGTATCACAGTCTACCTTCAAGTGATTGGATAGCACTTCATATGCAGTGCTATCTGCATATGAATGAAAACCTTATAGGAGTATACTTCTTTTTCTCTTCCTGGCGTTTATACTGTATGGTTATGCATTTTATTTTACATGTTATATATCCCAAAATACAGTGATACTATTTTTGTTTAAACAGTCATTTGTTTTTTAGAGAGTTTTAAATAATACGTCTTTTAATCAATTCTTTGAGAGAGAGAGAAACATCAATTCCTTGTTCCACTTAGTTATGCATTCATTCATTGGTTGATTCTTGTGTGTGCCCTGACCAGGGATTGAACCCGCAGCCTTGGCATATTGGGCCAATGCTCTAACCAACTGAGCTACCCTGCCAGTGCAGCAATAAGTGTTATACATTCACCCATGTAGTTACCATTTTCATTGCCCTGCCTTCCTCTGTGTATATTTCCCTCTGGCAGCATTTTCCAGAAGCAAATCAATGTAAATCATCTAACATTTCTTGTAGTGCAGATTTGCTAATAATGAATTATTTCAGCTTTGTACATCTTAAAGAGTATTTTGCTTTCATTTCTGAAAGATATCTTTGCTAAGTATAGAACTCTACCTTGACCATTGTTTTTCTCTAAGTAATTTAAAGATGTTGCTTTATTTTCTTTTTGCTTTTATTTCCAATAATAAATGCCTCTATTTTCTTGTCTTTGTTCTCTGTCTGCGTAACATGGCTTTTTTCTGAGGCTGACTGTCATTAGGAATTTCTCATTATCACTGGTTTTCAGCAATTTTATTATAATAAAAATTTGGAGAACTTTTCTTCATTCTTTTCTTGTGCTTGTTATTCATGGGGCTTCTTAGACCTGTGGGTTTACAGTTTCCATCAAACTTGGGGAAACTCCACCCATTATTCCCTCAGCTCTTCCTTGGGCCTCTCCCTTCTCCTCCAAGACTCCGCTCAGGTGTGTGTTCGGCCTCCGGCAGTTGTCCCATGGCCCACAGCTTCCTGATACTCATTTTTGCTGATTCTCTTTCCTCTGTGTGTTTATTTTGAATGGTTTCCATTTTTGTATCTTCAAGTTCATTAATCTTACCTTCTGCAGCATCCGATCTGGCGTTGATCCTGTGTAGCGTGGATTTCATCTCTAGAAGTTCCATATGGGTCTTTATTCAATCCTCCATGTCTCTACTTGACTTTTTAAACCTGTATTATACAGTTACATTAACTTTTATCTCCCTTCCCTGCCGGTTCTAGCATCTGTCTTCACTGTGGGTTGACTGCGATGGACTGATTTTCTCCCCATGTACATGTCCCGTTTTCCTTTTTGCATGCCTGGTAATTTTACATTGGATTCCAGACATGGCAAATTTTACCTTGTTGGGTGCTGGATATTTTTGCATTCCAATAAATATTCTTGAATGGTTCTGTGATGTATTGACTTGACTCTATTGATTCTACTTGAAAACTACTTTTTTCCTTTTGCATGTTGCTTCTAGAATTTTTTAGGTGGGACCAGAGCAGCTTCTTGTCCAGAATCAATTATTCTTCATTACCCAGGCAGGGCCCTCCTTGTGGCACTGTCAGCATGCCCGTGAATCAGGAGGTTTTCCACCCTGGCCCTCGGGAAGAGGCTGTGTTCCTGGCCCTGTGTGGGTGATGGGCACCTTTTCCTCTGGTCCTCTGGGAGGCTCTTCGCCCCACTCCGGTCGTCTCCTCCTGCGCACGTGCTGCTCGGCGCCTGGCTGATGCTTGAGGGGAATGCTCTCGAGGCTTCTGGAGTTTTTCTCCATGCAGCTCTCTCTCCTGCTTTGCCCCATCCTGTGGACTCGCGCCACCTTGGTCTCCTCAGACGCCCGGCGCCACCACACCTCAGGAAGTCCGCTGGCCTCTCCCCGGATGCCCTGCCTGGGCTGTGGCCTGGACGCACTCTCAAGGTAGTCAGCTGGGGCTGTGGTGCTTTAGTTTCTTTCTCACAAAAAACTTCTGTAGACCAGTGTCTGTGCCTTACCACCCACTGTTTCAGGTCTTCTGACTGTTTCTCGTCATTGGTTTTGGATGGTTCCCATTGTCCCCCCATATTTGGCAACAGGGTCCAGGTTTTTTCCAACCTAGGGTGTTTCTGAGGCAAGGACGTCCTGCTTTGAGTCCCAGCTAGTGAATGCAGACAAAGCTGGAAAAGTGCCCGAGGAGAAGTATCTTCTAAAGTGCTGAAACGGCCACTTTAATTTTCCTGAGAGGTTTTCTCTCTAGAACAATGAAACCTTTCCATTCTGTTTGGTTTTTCCAGAAGTTATTGATAATGGGATCACTTCTTAGTGAGGGGAGGAGTACATGGTGGGGTCTGAACCCCCCAGGATCAAACCGTGTCACCAGAACCTCCTCCCCATCCCCCTCCCCCTGTGGGCCACTCTCCCCCGTGCTGTGGGGCTCTGCCCTGCTCCTGCTGAGGCTGTGGGGTGTCCACTGCATGAGGGCATTGGCTTTCATTAGTCCTGGTTGGCAGACAAGTGGCCCTCGGGCGTGATGTCACAGTGAGCGTCCCGTGTTGTCCCTTCGTGTGCGCCTCCCCACGGGGAAGGGTTCTCGGATGGCCTCGCCGCTCAAGCCTCGGCTCCAGTGGCCTCACTCGGAAGCCCTCATGCCCCAGGGGACTCCGTGATGCTCTGCCCCTGCGTGAACAGGGGCTGCCCACAGTCAGTGTCCGTTTTCATCCACTAGATCCAGACAAAGACCGTAGCCCAGTGTGTTGAGTATTATTACATCTGGAAAAAAATGATCAAGTTTGACTGTGGCCGAGCCCCGGGGCTGGAGAAGAGGCTCAAGAGAGAGCCGGAGGAAGCCGACAGGACAGAAGCAAAGGTAGAGGGTCATGGCGGTCAGGAGTGTAGTGCTGAGCTGGATGCCCACTGTCCTGCCGAGCTGGGGGCTGGGAAGGGTGCCCTCGAGAAGGGTGTCCCCACGACGGACACCCGGGCCCTGGATCCCTGGGCCTCCCTTGTAAGGGCGGGGGGTCAGCACCCTCTTGGGGTTTCTGCCTCCTCTGCAGGTCACTGGCAGCCCTCGAGAGAGACCCAGCCACCGCCCAACCCCCGAGTTAAAGATGAAGACCAAGGGCTATAGGAGGGAGTCCATCCTCAACTCCAGCCCCAACACGGGCCCCAAGCGGACCCCCGAACTGTCCGGCAGCGCCGAGGGCCAGAGCGTTTTCCCCTGCAGAGAGTGTGAGAGGTACCAGCCCCAGCCCCGGCTGCACTCACACCACCTCCCTGGGGCAGAGCCTGCCCTGCTCTGACCCCCGCGTCCTCTGATGCCTCCCCAGGGTGTTTGACAAGATTAAGAGTCGAAATGCCCACATGAAGCGGCACCGGCTGCAGGACCACGTGGAGCCCATCGTCAGGGTGAAGTGGCCCGCAAAGCCCTTCCAGCTGAAGGAGGAAGAGGAAGAGGAGGAGATAGGGGCTGACATCGGCCCCCTGCAGTGGTGATTCCCAGACAGAGGGCTAGTGGGGGCGAGGCCGTGGTCGGGGTGGGGACCTCCAGCCCCATCATGTCTCCCTCCGCCCCCTCCAAGACGTCGGGGCGCCCCTCTTCCCTCCCTGGCCCCACCGTCCCCGGGGGAAGCACGCAGTCATCAGACAGCTGCACAGCTCCTGTTGGCTGTGCCAGCGGCCAGCCTCTCTAGGGCAGCAGCCTCTCCCCTTCTCTCAGCCCCACTCCTGGAGCAGGGAGGCGGGGAGGGGACAGGTGCAATCTGGCTGGCTCTCAAATCTGCGCCTCGGTTTGGGGATTTGGTTCCATTGTTAGGCAAGGCCAAGATGTAGAGAATCAGTGGGAAAACACCTTCAGGTGGCCGCATGCTGGGGCCTCAGTCCCTCGTCTTGCAGTGACTTGTACATTGTTAGGTTGTTTTTTTGTACGTGTCGACTTATAAATCTTATTAAATTGGGTTCTTGAGCAGCTGTCCTCTGGCTTCCCTGACCGTTTTATCCAACAGAGGCTTTGCAGTCCCTTCCTCAGGGCGGAGCCTCAGAGATGAGTCAGCTGTGCCCCTGCCCGGGAGGAGCCTGGCCTCGTACATTCCCTCAGCAAACACATGCCCTCCTCTGCACCGGACAGGCCCGATCCACGTGACGGGGATGCAGGAACACAAGAGGGACAAGTCCCTCTCCCTGTGCAGCTTACATTTTAGGAGCAGGAAAGCGGCAGAAATAAATAAGCAGAAAGATTTCAGATATTGCTCGTAGGTGCACTTTGGGCCACAAGCAACAGGAGAGTTGGCATAGGCTTGAGCAGTGAAGCCATTGGTGGTTCCAGCGGCTCGGCCAGGGAATCTGGCACTGTCAGCGGCTGCAGCCACTGTGAGAATCAGCCCTTCCCACACACAGAACAGAGCCGGTCCCTGCCTGCCATGTGTCCCTTTTCAAGAGTGAGGAGAGCTTGTAGCAGTCCCCAGCAGCACACCCCTCATGTCTCATCAGCCAGAACCGTAGCCCGTGCTTATTTCTAAACTGCTCCCTGGGTGTCAGTGGGAAGGGAAAAGGCCACGGTTACCCTGGGCACTCAGCACTGGTCTCAGGTGGAGAAAGCAGGTGAGCTCCCTCAAGGTTGCTGCTGGAACTCCGCTTGCCAGGAAAAGAGGAGGAGGCAGAAATGACTACGGGGTAGGCAGAGCGCAGCAAAGTGACCGGAAGAAAACACAGCAGGAGGCCAAGTCCTGGGGAGTGACCAGGGAGTGGCAGTCGGTGTTAGGTGGGCAGCCAGGGAGGTGCCTCTGAGGAGCTGCTGAGGTGGAGGTTCGGGCCCAGGCCTCGGCGTGGCAGAGTAGAGCGCAGGCTGCTGCAGGACGCTGGCAGAGGGCGTTTAGAAACACCTCGTGGGCTGCCGCATGCAGGTGGTAGGAGGCAAGATGGGAAGCCTGGTGAGCAGGTAGCAGGCCCTAAGGTAAGATGAGGGTGGCTTCAGCTGGGGTCAGGGATGCACCTTAGAAGCAGACTCAGGCTTGCTGACGGGTCACTCGTCTCAGGGAAAGAACGGATCAAGGCCAGTGGGGGAGGTTTCGGCTTGAGCCGCTGAGTAGATGCCATCAACTCTGATGGGGGAGAGGGACACTTCCGAGGACTGACCACATCAAGCGGGACTGTGACCGTGTCTTTAATAGTCCGCACTGTATTCTGAAGGACTGGCAGAGAGAGCAAGTTAGAGGACGGTGTCGGGAGGTTTCACGAGGGGCCACATGGAGCTCAGTAAATGTGAGAAATGGGACAGTGGGGGAGAGACGGAGGCGGAAGTGGAGTTTAAAGCAGTTGGGGCATTGTGGTTAAGAGAAAGGGTTCAGCCATCCGGCGAACCAGAACTCACCTCCTGGCTCCTCCTCCTCTGTGACCTTGGGCAAGGCACCTTCCCTCACTTTCCCTGGTTGGGCCTCAGTGTTCTCACTCTGTAAAATGGAATGGAAAATGCCTATCCTCCCATGTATCTGTTAACGAGCAAATGTAAATTAAGTATTAGGCACGATGCATCGTGGGAACTAGTGGCCGCTGTTTCCTGAGCACTCAGGCTGTACTGTGAGCATTCGGGTTCTACCCGAAATCACAAGTCAAGCTCCACAGCTCCAAAATGAAAGACAGGCTCCAAAGGGTTGGGTGGGATTAGTTATCTGTTGTGGTTGAACAAATTACCCCAAAATGTAACAGCTTTAAACAAATGGGAGTTTTTATAATAGCGCTGCTTAGACAGACACAGAACCGAAACTGCTTGTGGTAATCCAGACACCCCCACCCGACCTGCGGTCAGAATACAGTGGCGACCACAGGTAGGTGGCCCAGGAGAGTCTCTGATTGTACAGTTGCTTCCGCCCTGCCCCCTTAGCCAAGCCCCATCCCCACCCCCCACCCCCCACCCCCAGATAACAGTTTTCTCAACCAATGATCTCTGGATTATCTGCATTCTAATTATCAGGATGGGAGGGAAGAGAGGGAGGGTTCTGTTAAAAAATACGGATTCCACCCTGACTGGTGGGGCTCAGTGGATTGAGCCTATGAACTGAAATGTCCCCGGTTCAATTCCCAGTGAGGGCACATGCGTGCAGTGTGGGCCAGGTCCCCACTTGGGGATGTGTGAGAAGCAACCAATTGATGTATCTTTCTCACATCGATATTTCTCTCCCTCTCTTTCTCCCTCCCTTCCCCTCTCTCTAAAAAATAAATAAAATCTTTTTTTAAAAAGAGTATATACTATCAATGTGACTTACCACTGTGGATGTGACCCTCAGTCACCTGTCAGTCACTTGGCTGACAATGTTTGTCAGGCTTCTCCACTGTAAACTTGGTCCCCTTCCCTTCCCATATTGTACTCTGTGGAAGGAAGTCACTGCTCAGTCCACACTTAAGAAGTGAAACCCTGGCCGGCTGGCTCAGTTGGTTAGAGCATTGTCACCATGAGCCAGGATGGCAAGTTCAATCCCCGGTCAGGGTGCATACAAGGAAGTGGAACAATGAAGCTCTGTGTCTGTCTCTTTCCTCTGAAATTCAATGAATTTTTTTAGAAAACTGAAGCATTATGCTCCACCTTCCAGAAGGCAGAGTACCTACATAAATTATTTGGAATTCTTCTATGCAGAATAATTGTGTATTTTTCCCCATTTATCCATTTATATCAGCATGGGTTCATGGATATTTTATACATCAAGCTACAATCAAATACCACTTTATTTTGTTGTTAATGTTCCAGCTCTGGCCATTGGGAGCTCTTTCAGTTGACTCCTGTGTCTCTTTGACAGGCCCCATTGTTTGTGTTTGTGTGTGCGCGTGAGAGAGACAGACACACACAGACACACTTCCTTTCTGGCACTACGAGATGCACCAGTCCTACATTCAGTCATTTGTCCAAGGAGCCATGGTTCCTTTTATTAGAGGATGGAATTTTTAACATTCTCCAGGTTTGGTTTGGTGTTTTGCTTTTTTATTAATGAAACCAGAGTCGGAAAACATCTCTCTCTTACCCTCAAGTATTTCACTGGCCTTTCCAAATCAGTTCCAGCTTCCCTCGGCAGAGGGCGCAAGAGACGTTTCTTTCTTTCAAAGTGAAAGAGAACGAAGGCGGAGTTCTACGCTAGAGAACTGTCAAACCCGGCCTTGGGCGGGACCTGTCTTACGCCAGGGGCTAGGAACTGTCACGTGAGGGTCAGCGATCAGCTGACTAGGGCCGGTGGGGCGGGAAGAACGGAAGTAGAGGGACTGTTGATTGGTGGAGGAGGATCCAGAAAGGTTACACTTGGGAACGGGTGCTAGACCGTAGGGACTACGATTGGCTTATATGGAATCACCTGGGTTATACCGAATTACCTGGGATGTTGTACGGAACAACCGGAAAAAAGTGGGTTGCCGTACGCAGTGGTGTGCGCATGCGTTGAAGCATTAGTTCTCCGATTGGAAGCAGTGGGTCACGGGGTGGCCCCGGACGGCCTGCAGGGGCGTGGCCGGCGGGGCGCGCGCCGCGCGACAGGGCCGCTGGTTGGCCAGCGCTAGTCACATGGTTCCGAGTAGCAGGAGGTCTGCCCCGCTGCGACGTCAACGCAGCCGGCTAAGCTCCCCTGACTTGTATACCTTGGCCCGGCCCCGGCTGAGTCCTCCGAGGGCCCGGGTCGGGCGTTTTGGTGGGTACTTGTGCAGCCGCCATGGACAACTCCGGGAAGGAAGCAGAGGCGATGGCGCTGCTGGCCGAGGCCGAGCGCAAAGTGAAGAACTCTCAATCCTTCTTCTCGGGCCTCTTTGGGTAAGAACCGCACTGAGGGTCGGCCTGGACGTAAGCTGAGAGGACGAAGGAGTCATGGCCTGAGGAGGCGGAGTAGGGACGAAGGGCTGGAGCCTAGAGCTCGGAGGGGATTTCGAAAATAAAGTGCCATCATCTAAAGCAGCAGAGGGGACACAGTCGAAGGGCCAGAGCCCCCGGGTTGTGTCAACACGGTTTGAGGAAAGAGTCTGAGATGGTGGAAGGGCCCTGGGCTGAGAACACCTAAGCCGGGGCAGCAGCATCATGAGGCGGGAAGGAGACCCAGGCTAAAGGCGGGTCAAGGGGCCGGAGGAGAACCTGGGTTGGAAGCATGTGGTCTGAGGCCTTGAAGGGGACCGTCCTGAGTGGATTAAGGGGACCTGAGAGAGCAGCCAGGTCATGAAGCCTTTGGGAGCTGGAAGAGAACGTACCTGAAGGATCCCAGGTGGGCGAAATGGGGCTTGGAGCCCAGGACACCTGCCCTAGCTGTTGACCTTTCCAAGGCGGTGGTGAACTGCATGAGTGCTGGGTGATCAGGGTGAGGGGGTCTGGACTCAGGTGATGCTGGGAGTGACGAGGTCAAGTGTGAGGTGCCTGGGGCGAGTATGACCCTGGTTAATGGTGACCAGTGCAGGAAGGACCTTGTACTTGAGTGACCTCAGAGCAGGGGAATCCTGGGTAATGGAATTAGAAAGGAACCCTGGGGTGAGAGGCTGGAGAATGACTGGGGTGGGGGAGTGAGTGATGCTGACGTTGTTCAGCAGATGGAGGGATGAGGGGAGGGGAGGGAGATGAGAAAAGCAAAGGGAGTGGGGACCCTGCTGTGTGGTCATTGGGCAGTGGTCCCCTGTGTGAGCCCGGAGACTGTGGTGTGTTGAGAAGGGGGCTGGGTCTACAATGTGATGAATATTTCACACAAAATTCATGTTCGCCCATAAAAGTGATGACCATCCTTTGAGGAATCTTCGTGGCTTAAGAAAGTGCCCTGTTTGGTGTTGGCCTGTGAACCGAGAGGTTGCTGGTTCAATTCCCGGTCAGGGCACATGCCTGGGTTGCAGGCCAGGTCCTCAGTAGGGGGCACTCAAGAGGCAACCATTCAGTGTTTCCCTCTTTCTTCCCCTCTCCCTTCTAAAAATAAATAAATAAAGTCTTTTTTAAAAAGAGTGTCAAAAGCCCAGGTTTGGAGTGTGGCTCAGCCACTTATTTTATGAGCTTCGGTAATTTTCCAGTTAAAAGGGGATCGCTAGTAAAATTTACCTCAGAAGTTTGGCACTAGCGCTGAATAAGAGGACCTGTAAAGCTCTTGGATCGAGTCTGACACAGGGTTAGCTTGAATGATGACGTCAGCTGTCCTCAGTGTCACTTCCAGGAAGGAAACAGGTTTGGAACCTGTACTGGGCAGGGCAGTGAGGACCCAGGTGGGAGCCTGGGGGAGACATCTGGGAGAGTCAGAGGAGAGGGGAGCTGAAAGAGTGAGGGAGGGACTCGGGGCCCTGGGGACTTTAGTCAGGTTAGGGGAAGGGGCTTGAGGTCCTGGGCAGAGGAGGAAGAGAGCCTGGGGTGCCAGGGGAGGGTTGCGTTGCTCTTAGGACCGAGAGGAGTGACTGGAGAGGGACGGTGGGTCTGCAGAGTTAGGAGGAACCGTGGTGGTAGAGGTGGGGCTCGGAGTCTGGGAACAGAGAGGCAGAGACTGGGGAAGGCTGCGGGACTGGGAGAGCCTGCCGGGGAGGCCAGGGACAGGGTTTGAGAGGAGGGCCTTAGGGACTGGGACAGACGGTGTTAGAAGGTTGGTAAGAAATGAAGGGCAGGGCTCCTTCCAGGAGAGGAGACAGACCGCCCATTAATATTTAGGAAAAGCACTTTAATACCATGGCTGGTGTGGAGAAGCGTCCAGGCTGGTGTATGGATTAGTGAGGAACCTGTAGTTTTAGAGGCTGAGAGCGGAGAGAGGATATGCGTGCCTGTGTTTTTCCTTCAGGAGGGGAGAGGTTCTGGTGCAGTGTTTTGGGGCGGGGCCAAGAGCTCAGCTTTCGGCTAATAGTTTTGCTGGTTGGTTTTTGGTGCCCTGTCCCTCTGGACTGAGGATCAGTGTGCTGTTGGGCTGTGCATGGAGGGACAGCTAAGGCAACCTCGGAGACACTTGTCACCTGCTTGGGAAGGGAGAGCAGGGTTTGCCGTCCCAAAATATGCTTCTTTGGGACGTTGGTTGTTTTAGGCTGGTTAATTTCAGGAGAAACTCTGAAAGCCCCGTAGGAGTGGGTTCAGTGACGCTTTTGGAAGGGCTTTTACGTTTGTCTGTAAAATGCAAAAGTCCTTACCGAACCAGGCCTGCCCTCACTGGCTAGTGGAGAAGGTTTGGACTTAAATCCGTATGATGATCCTGCCCTTGTTTACTGTGCTTTTCCTGGTAACCTCCCCCAACTGACTCTCCACCCTCAGGGTCTTTTGTCTTCAGCTGATGGCGGTATTTAACCGGCTGGCTTAGGGCATTTGGCAAGTTCGTTAGTGTTCCTGGGTCTCTCCCGTGCACACAAGACACATACATGTTATTAAGCTTTAACTTTTCTTTTGCTCATCTGCCTCATGCCAGTTTGATTTTTAGACCAGCCAGAAGAACCACGAAAGGTAGAGGAAAAGTTTTCCTCCCTGACAGTTGGGGGAAAAGCCCCAAATTCAGAACCGATTTCAAAGAACTGACACGTAGCCCTACCCAGGTTTATGAGAACTTTAACAGGAGAAACTTACACACTTGGGCAGAGCAGCTGCCTGCTCCCTGGGTGGCCGGCCGGGGAAAACCCACCTCCTCCCGAGACAGGGTCTCTTGTTTATAGGGGGTTAGCAGTGAAAGTCGTGTGGTGGGGAGACATGCAGACCGCCAGAAGGGACAATGCCTTTCTAAGTTAACATGACAATACACAGTTATCACGGTGTGCACAACCATTAGCCTGGGGGTGGGGAGGATGTTTATCTTTGGGTGGCTTTCTGGGTTTCTGGGGAGTCAGCCAAGCCCGAGGCTTCCGAGAGCCAAACAGTCACAGAAGATTAAACAGAGTCCAACATTTCCCAGACGCTTTTAGTGCTGGGGCCATATCGCACCTCTGACCCCCTTACACTGACACAGGATTTGTGCTTGGCAAACAGTGGCGACCACAATCTGCAGATGTGACAGGGGGCGAGATTGTGCCACTCAAGGGAAGTCCCCGGGGTTGAGCGGAAGCTGCTCGTCCTGGAGGAAGGCTCTTGGTGAGGAGAGAGCTGGGCCCCAAGGAACCCTAGGACTTGCTGAAGGAGTGAGGGCCTGGAAAGGTGTGGCGTGAGGGGAGGTTCTGCCCGGAATGATGGGGAACCGAGCGAGATCCAGAGGGGCCAGGGATGGTTTCCAGGAGGAGAGGACTCCTTCTGGGAGGATGAACAGTAGTTTTGGGAGTGACCTCTGGGGGGTGCACCACTGCAGGCAGAGGAGGCACCTTGCGGAGGGCCCAGCTGTGTGGTGTGGACAGGGTGTTCCATGTTAGCATATGAAGTTCCAAGGGCAGGAGTCGGGGGCAAAGCTCAGCGAGGACGAGGCTGGGAGGGGGACGTGGGTGCTGGAGAGCGTTATGGATTTTAAGGAGGCATTCCTGTCTTAGTCGGTTCACACTGCTATAACAAAACACTGCAGTTGGGCAGCTTATAGACAGACATTCATTTCTCAGAGCCCTGGAGGCTGGGAAGTCCAAGATCACGCGCCAGATTTGGTGTCTGCTGAGGGCCCGCCTCCTCACAGGCAGCATCTTTTCTGTGTCCTCACATGGTGGGCGGGGTGGCCTGGCTCTCTGGGACCTCTTTTAGGAAGGCACAGAGTCACCCCCCAAAGGCCCCACCTCCTGATACCATCAACGCATGAATTTCGGGAGCACACATTCAGTCCTTAGCCAGGCGGGTCCTGGAGGGTTCCCACTTGTCTTTTAGAAAGGACCACAGCAGCTGGGGTGGGGAGAGTGAAGGCAGTGACGTAAATAAGGGCAGGTAATGTTTGTTTATGTATTTTTTAACTAGTTTCTAATTATTTATTTACTTATTTTTATTTTAATCTTTGTTCAAGTACAGTTTTCTCCCTTTTACTCCTATTCCAGCCCACCCACCCAACCCTCCCCACTTCCCTCCCATTACCACCCTCCCCCTAGTTTTTGTCCAGGTGTCCTTTAAATTTGTTCCTGTAAACCCTACTCATTCTCCCCTGAAATTCCCTCTACTCTCCCCTCTGGTCACTGTCAGCCTGTCCTCTATTTCAGTGACTTTGGTTATATTTTGCTTGTTTCTTTGTTTTGTTTAGGTTCCTGTTAAAGGTGAGATTATATGGTATTTGTCTTTCACTGCCTGGTTTATTTCACTTAGCATAATGCTTTCCAGTTCCATCCAAGCTGTTGCAAAGGGTAGGAGCTCCTTCTTTCTTTCTGCTGCATAGAATTCCATTGTGTAAATGTACCATAGTTTTTTGATCCATTCATTTACTGATGGGCATCTAGGTTGCTTCCAGCACCTAGCTATTGTAAATTGTGCTGCTATGAACATTGGGGTGCAAAGGTTCTTTTGTATTGGTGTTTTAGTGTTCTTAGGATATAGTCCCAGCAGTGGAATTGCAGGGTCAACAGGCAGATCCATTTTTAGTTTTCTGAGGAAGTTCCATACTGCTTTCCATAGTCGTTGTACCAGTCTGCAGTCCCACCAACAGTGCACTAGGGTCCCCTTTTCTCCACAACCTCTCCAACACTTGTAGGTAATGTTTATTAAGCGCCCATTCTGGTCCGGAGTCAGGTCTGAGCCAGCCACTTCACCTGGGTCCTCACGTCCGATCCTCAGGGTGTCCCGTGGAAATGGATGAGTGTGGTCTCAGAGAAGTCAAGGTACCGCCCAGTCCCCTGGCGAGTGGGACCCATGGTCAGACCCAGGCCTGTCCAGTCCCAGAGCCCTCCCTCCTCTGCACTTAGCTTCCCTTGAGGCTCAGCCACTTTGGGCACTAA